ACCAAGCTGTGCATCAGCTCAAGGCACTATCTCTGCAGATGCTGGGTAATGAGGTTAATTCTTGTGGGGGAGTTGCGTCATCCTGGGCTAGCCAATCAAGATGACCGGAGATACTGAACCTGGTTCTGACTGGTGCCGCACATCCTTTTGAGGCTAGGTTCACACCTGCACTACACAACACGACACCTGGGATGTGTGATCTTATGCTAGTGCACACAGCGATTGCTGCACGGCTCCATTGATTTCAACGGGGTGACATCCGAGCTGCAATTGCTAAAAAAAGGTAGAAGTACCTTTTTTTGTGACACGCGCCGCTCGTGTTCACTTGCATGGGCGGAATCCCGCGCGATCCGCCCCGCGCGACTGGGGTGCCATTAGAAAAAAAAATGTCACCCACAGCGTGATCAGTTCACACCTTGGCGACTCTTGACCGTGCGGCAATCGTGCACAAAACCGTGCGGATTGCCGAGTGGTCAGGAGTCGCCTAGGTGTGCACCTAGCCTTTGAAAAATCCACTTCTACTGCGTAAGTACACCGCTATATTCATTTTTATGGCTGGTATATTCACTCATATCTGTACTTGTGTAGGCCACCAGACATTCACAAGAGTAAGGGTGAGAAATGTTTCATGTGCCAGAGGGCAATATTTAAAGGATTTCTTAAGTCCTAGCATATCCTATCCTGTTGTAACATCAGCATTGTAATAAGAATACATACTAGAGTTGTTTTTCATTATTCAATCCCTTTTATATAGTGAGTGCTTCCTTCTGTCTGCCCATCACTTTCATCAACTTCCTGGATTCCAGTGTGCTTTGCGTCTCTTTCCCTGCTGCTTGTTGTGATGCAATCTTTATTTCACTACATATCCCATCATGCATTGCTTCCAGCAAGCAATGCTGCCGTTAGATTGTTCAGACGTTGAGTTGTAGTTTAGAAGGCAGGCTCTGAGATTGGTGACATGAGGATAAACACAAATTTCTCAGCACACTCACCAGACAGCCTGCAAAAAAAAAAACCCTCTTTCTATTAGTGTGAAAAGCAGAGGTTTTAGTTGTACAACTTTTGCAAAATATGCGGAAGCCGCATTGCCTCCTCAAGACCCCTCTGTGTAGTGTGGTCCTAACTCTAAGGATAATTGGGTGCAGGTGCCAGGAGGTAACCCATTCCGCCTTAAAGGCACAGGGACATACCAGAAGCCCAGCATATCACAACGGCAGCTGTAGCCCCCAAAGTATCCCCGCACCAAATCCAACAAGTGAAGCAAATGGCAACCGCACAAATCAATTTATAACTAGCTTTTAAAGGAAGGTGCACATGGAAGGGCTTTACATAGTACAAACGCAAACATTTCCCAACACACTTGCCAGCCTGCAAAAACACAAACTTCGCTGTCTAATAGCGTTTAAAAACAGGTTTTAGTTGCACAGATTCTGCAATGTAAGCTCAAGCCACACTGCCTCGTCCAGGCTCCTCTGTGTAGTGTGGTCCTAACTGTAATTGGAGAGCCTACATCTTGGGGCATATATTGCAAATTGAGTACGCCAGGCGGTAGCTCATTCCTCCATAAAGGCGCAGGGACACACCAGAAGGCCAGGACATCACAATGGCAGCTAATGCCCCCAGTGTGTCCCCACACTAAATCCAACAAGCCGGGCTTCTGGTGTATTCCTGCAGGCTAGCTGGTAAGGGTGCTGGGAAATGAAAAGGCCTTCCATATGCACCTTACTTTAAAAGCTAGTTATAATTTAATGTTTGCTTTGCTTGTTGGTGACACACGGATGTGCATATTTACCTCGCTGAGTGAAATTTGTCAGCGCATTAAGGGAGTACATCCTATGGGCATCTTCAATAAGTAAGTTTACAATCTTCTAGATCCTTGGTTCTCAACTGGTGGGTCGTGACCCAAAAGTGGGTCGCGACCCTGTGTTCAGTGGATCACCGCATCCCTTCCACTTTTCTAGGTGAGAAGCTACTTAGCCTCCCCCTAGCGCAGCACTGTCAGTTCTCATACCAAGCAGCCATTCAAAATATGCTGCCCGGTGCAGAGTGTCGGCTTGAGGTGGGATAGGGCTATCGTGAGAGAGCTCCATCCAGACATACACCGCCCTGTAGAGTTGCCTGGACCAGAGTGACATCACATTCGGTTTCCCAGCACCTCTACAGGGCACATGAGGGAGCTGTACAAGCAATGCAGATATGGATGGAGCTCCGTCACAACACAGCAGCCCACACTAGACCACAGGCTGAGGATCCACTCCAGTTCTTAGGGAGAACTGGGTGGATCTTAAAAAAAGAACAAAAATGATTTGTGGGTGTGTGAGATTTTGTCTGTGGTTGTGTGTGTCTGTCAGTGTTTTTAAGGGTTATTAACGCACCTTACCACGCAATCACACCTGCCATGCATTCTGCTGTGGGAAGTGTGTTGCATTGCTATCCCACAGTGCGATCACACGCACCGGAATGCAAGATACCGCAATGCCATGCGTTCCAGTGCGGTGTGATTTGGGTCACGACTTAATGACCAAGGACATATGTGGGTCCTGAGGTTACACAGGTTGAGAACCACTGTTCTAGATGGGTTTGGTTACCAGTAGGGATGCACAGATACTGTTTTTTTTTTCTTCTTTTCGATACCTGCCGATACTGGGTACCGGAAGTTCCATTCAGGAAGCCAGGCGGCGTGTAATTACTTGGCAGCTGGCTTCCTGATTTAACCGTGAAACCGGGCAGCGTGTAAAGACTCGCCACCCGGCTTCCCGATTAGCAGGGAAGCTGTCCCCATGCTTCTTGTCATGTAATGATGCGGTGCCTGGCTTCCTGATTGGCTGGGAAGCCACCTCCATGCTCTCTCGTCATGAGTTGGCGAGGGAGCATAAAGCCGGGCGCCGCGTCATTACATGGCGCAGGGCTTCCTGATTGGCCAGCTTCCGACCAATCAGGAAGCCGGGCAGCGCGTCATTGCACGCTGCCCAGCTTCCTGATTGGCCAGGAAGCTGTCTCCATGCCAATCAGGAAGCCGGGCAGCTTGTAATGACGCACTGCCCGACTTCCTGATACTGGAAGTATCGGACATGGCATTGGAGCATTCGGGTACGAGTACTCACCCAAATAATCGGCACCGATACTAGTATCGGTTTTGGTGCATCCCTAGTTACTAGGAGTGGGGGTTTTTTGACCATAGATACCCTTTAAATGTGCTAGCTGTGTTCATATCCTCTTACTGACAGCTCAGGAAACAACTTCAAGTAGTAGACAGATGTAAATATTAGTTTTGTCCTCTTGTCTGTAAATGGCTTTCTTACAGGGTCATTGGGTTAAAAATGTTGATGGTTCAGCAGCGACTTCATCGTTTTTTTCCCCTCTATGTTGCTTTGCAGTCTTGATCATCAGAGGGTTCCTCCTCTGTTATTAGAGCTTGATCATGGCTCTTGGTCCTAAAAGAGGAAATTGTGAACTTATGGAAAACGAGCTGCAAAGTGCTGAGAGTATGGGCCGTTGCTGCGTGTTTTAAAAGCGTTGGCTTTTAAGGATGTGGCAGTTGGGCACCGAGCTGACAACTACCAATTACTTTCTGAGAAGTGCCCTTTCCTCCCCGTGCCAGCGGGAAAATGCCTGGCAGATCTCTGTTGCCAGGGAAACTGCAGGATGGCTTTTCTAATAATCTTTCAGGTCTCGTAGACTTGTTATCTCCATCTGATCATTCCTGTCCTGGACAACCAAGATAGCAATTTACAAGATAATCCTTATTTTATATAACGTGTGTGTGTGTGTGTGTTTTTGTGTTTTACAGTTTTTCGTGCCGTGCTTTGTCTGTTATATTTGGCCTTGACATTCAGTCACCGAAGTGCAGTACAGCTGACATCTTTTATTTATTATTGTGGTCTTTAAGGAGCACTGACGATTTACACAGCCTTTTACATAGTTGCAGATTCACACCAGTCCCTGCCCTCAAGGAGCTTACGATCTAAGGTCCCTATCTCACATGCACACAGGGCCAATTTAAATTGGCCATATACCTATATATCCCGGCATATCCCGCCCGGCTTCCTATAGATTTTCTGCAGATTTACTATGGTCAGATGGGAAAAGTGCAACTGATTCCTCCATCTACACTAAACTGTGTGGATGGAGGAATCTCCCACTGGGCCAAGCTTTGGTATCTTACTAATCGGCCCCGCGTAGTTTAGCGTAGATGGAGGAATCTGTTGCACTTTTTCCATCTGACCATAGAAAATCTGCAGATAATCTATAGGTGTATGGTCAGCTTTACAAAGGAGCCAATTAACCTTCCAGTAAGTCTTTGGAATATGGGAGGAAACCAGAGTACCCGGAGGAAACCCACACAAGCACAGGGAGAGCATTAGTGTCCTGACCGAAATTTTGAACCAGGGACCCCCAGTCCTGCAAGATAGAAGTCCTAACAACTATACCACTGTTCTTTGTGGTTGCTTGAAGTACATTTTTCCTTTTTAAACTGATTCATAGATTTGAATGAAGGGCACAGAAGTTTCACACTCATTTGTACAGCTCTGTTTTATTGGCATTATTTGAATTTTGGGAGGGTAATGCCAAATTGCTGGCTCCTTGGCGATCTCTGCATCTACCTCCACTGGAGACCCAACCTGGCCCCACTGAAATAACGAAGGGATTTTATCAAAACTGGAACAGTTGTCCATATCCCCAATCAGCTTCTCTATTTCATTTTCAAAGCTTAACGGAACAAACGGAAGAGAGAAGCTGATTTGGTTGCCATGGACAACTGCTTCAGATTCTGTCAGCTTCAACGTATACACCTTTTGGATGTGCATGCTATTATTGTACACAAAAATTAAACTCCAAGCAGATATAAAAGTAATACATTAACACAACTCTATTTATTAGTACGCAGAGATTGCGGGCAATGGATGATTTCAATTTACCTCATATACAACTGAAATATGAGTGTTCTGCTGGCTCTTGAAGAACCTGTGAACGTGAAAATGTGTTTTATTTTCCTACAGACAATTGTATCGAGGAATGCTCTTCAATACAGAGGCACCTCCCAGCACGATGCCCAAGAGTTTCTGCTTTGGCTCTTAGACAGAGTACACGAAGACCTGAATGCTTCTGGCAAGAATAAGCCTCGGGTAGGTGATCCTTCTGTTGCAACCCTTGGGTCGGTAATCCTTTCTATTGCATCTGCTTTTCTTTATGTGAAAAGTATGACTTCTGTTAGGGCCCAAGCACACCATTGCAGTGCACTAGAGCGTGTGTGCTTCCACTTCTTATGCCGCTGCCTAGCGCATCAATTTAGATGCTTGCATACCACACTACAACACGGTAGTATTGAATTAACTTCCTGTCCAGTGTAAGATCACAAGTGACAGCACAGTCTGGAGGAGGGGACAGGGGAAGGGGGAGAATAGCTGGCTTTGCTGCGTTAGTGGAAATACACACGGCTTACTAGCATACACAAGGTTGGCTCCATAGAAGCCTGGAAGAAAAAAGAGCCACTCTAAGGCCTCATTCACACAACTTAAAGTCGGCCCGTTCTGATCCGTGTTGCGGGCACAGCCGTATTGGGCCGTTTCCGAAAAGGACAGGCGCTGCGTGTGATTGTACGCAGCAACCTTTTCTCTATGGGAGGACGCCGCTGTACACTCACCCGAGCTGCACGTCCGTGCAGGTGTCCATGCTCGGACGCAGACAGGATCCATCCTGTCTGCGTCCAAGTACAGACACCTGCACCCGCATGGATGTGCAGCTCAGGTGAGCATACGGCCACGTCCTCCCATAGAGAAGAAAAGGCTGCTGCGTACAATCACACGCAGCGCCTGTCCTTCCCAGGAGTGGCCCGATACGACCGTGCACGCCACACGGATCTGTACAGGCCGACTCTAAGCTGTGTCAATGAGGCCTAAGACAGGATATCATGGCCGGTGCTAAGGGGACAAGCTGATTATACAGGAAACTAAAACTTTTAAACATCAAGAAGCAGCATCCATTGGAAGTGATTTAAATCGGCATTTGAAATGGTTTAAAAACCCTTTAACACTCCAGCACTTTTGAAAATTGAAAAAAATAGCATCTCCCAGGAGGTCCACAGTTTCTGTAACCCTGCAACCCACACATCTGGCTCCAACAGTCTTACCACGGTTCATGCATGTTCTAATGATTGGTTGAAGGGTAAGTTCACCTATTCATAAAAAATTAAAAGGTGCACGAACTCCCAAAACCCACCCCAGTCCTTGCTGCACTTAGCTGCTGTGAATGCCATCTCCTGCCGCCCATGCCAGACGGGGTAATGATCTGCACATTTGGAAATTTCACTACACAGGCCTGGTGGCAGAGTAGCAGCATAATGCTTACAACGGATAGCAGTCATTGGTCAGCATGGTCACATGACCACGCTGCCCGATGAGAATCTCTTTTAAGCCTTTAGTGTCCCAAAAGAATGGAATGCATGGCATAATGCACAATGACCCACCACAAAGACTTAGTACTAGTCTTAACTTTCCGCACTCATCGATCGCCAACATGGCACAAATCTACTACTGTTAGTGTAGAAAAGAGATTTATTTTTTTCTTCTTGAAAAGATGCAATTTTGCTCATGCTGACATATGCCCTACGTCTTTTATGTCAAGTATAATTTTTAATGATTGATCCAATCTAAATTGATTTCTGCTCAATCAGGTGTCTGGGGTCCAGCAGCAATAGGTCAGAGGACAGCTTGCAGTCAGGGAACAGCCAGTTGTGTCTAATAATTTGTATTTGTGATGATTATACATGAAAGTGATCTCTGCAAAGCCAGGTGTCTTGGAACCAGCAGTTCTAGGCCCAAAGACAGTCAGCAGGCAATGAGTTGTAGCTTATGGAAGAGTAATAGGATTAGAGAAACATGGATGCTATTCAGCATGGAAGGGTTTGGTTTCCTCTGATAATGCCTAAAGGAAATGATTTCATGTGTTGCAGCTACCGGTGGAGGAAGATCTGACAGGAGAGGGTCCTCCATTCCCAACCAGTGGCACCTTCGTTCAAGAACTCTTTCAGGCTCAGTACAGGTAGAGTACTGCTATCATTCTTCGAAAAATCAGTTTGAACAATGGAACCAGTCGTGTGATTTTGTTAAGGGTTAACGCACTCTTTTTTTTTTTTTCCTTGCCAAGTTCTTAAAAAATGTATCCCATATCTGCTTTGCTTGCTGTTTGAATATTCCCTGCAACATCTTAAAGGAGAAATACAGACACATATGTGGAAGAAAACCCTTTACTCTAATTATGTATTTAGTCAGAAGTCAGTGAATATGTATTAAAAAAAGTATATTTTCCTTTCAAGCAAACCTGTGTCTTGTCCATTCAGGTTTGCTTTAAAGGAGAATTATGGGGAGAGAGAAATGTACTCATCCCTGTACTTGGAGCCAACATGTGACACTGAAGCTGGCACACGACGCCTCTATTGATCACATACCACATTGCTCAGTTCCCGAGAGTGGTGACTATCAGTCATAGCTCCTTGCAGGGATTCCCCCTTCTACGTTCCTCCAGAGCTCATTGGAGGGACAGACAAGGGAGGAGTGCGGGCACAGCTGACTCTGCCTCTATAGAGGCAGAGTCAGCTGTCAGGCAGTGCGGTGGATCCTGACAATATTGTCGGGATCTTTCCTGTCTGTAGCGCGGCTTTACACCGTGAGCATATAGCGGCAGTAGCCTGCTATATGGTCAGTTTTGGGTCACAGGAGGACATTAGTAAATGAACTCGGGTGACCCTAAAGAGAACAAATGCAAAAAAAGGTTTGGCCATAGTTTATCTTTTAATTTCCCATTTTCAAGCAGCACATACTCCGTCCTCTCGCTTCAGCTGCCCGGAGTACCAGTACTTCCTTGTACAGGAAGCATGTGACTCACTCACACCATATAATAGAGCTGGAGTGCAACAGCGCTGTCACAAATCCATGACCCTGTGTAAGCTTTGACTTGAGTGAGCTGTGGATGGGGAGCAAAAGAAAGGCAAGTCTGTGCTTCTGGGAAGGGTTCACCGGGAGTCTGTTTAAACAGCCGCGATGCTGGCGACGTACACTGTACGTCGTCAGTCACGAAGGGGTTAAGAAGAACTCCGGGCAAAACGTTTATCAACCCTAGCATTGGGGGCTACCCATGCACTGCAAAAGTTGAGTGATTGCTTTTGTCTAGGTGCTAAAAAGAAAGTTTGACTCGCGCCAACTGCCTGCTTCTCTGATCACTGAAGCCTGCCTTCTCCTATGCTGCAGCATTGTAATGTTCCTCAGCATCCTCACATCTATGCACCGTGTGCAGAACGTGATAATCTTAGACCGCTATCGAGGAGTGGGAGAGAGGCTACAGTGACGGGTCTTAGAGCCAGACGTCGCCATGGTTCAGAGTACCTTTTTTTTTTCCCCTTACTTTTGGCCCCTAGACAAAAACAAGCAGTTAACCCCTGCAGTACAGGGGAGCCTCACTGCAAGGATTAAGAAAAGTTTTGCCCGGAGTTCTGCTTTATAGTGAATTTATGGCTTTACAATGCATTCACTTTAAATCTCTATTTACATGTCCGTATAACCCACTGGCCAATGAACTGACGGCCTCGAACCATACGAGGTTGTACCAGTTTCAGTAGTCGGGGCAGTGGATGTCTATGTCCCAGATACGGAAAGTTCATGACCCACCGTTACGGGCATGGAGCGTCTTGCGGATACGCCATTACTTATGCACCTCGAAGGCGGGGGTTCCCCCGCTGAGACAGCGTACAGACTTTGAATCAATATGTGAGGAGGCGGAACCAGTGAGACACATGTTATCTCTTGTAATTGACAGTCTGCGTAGCCCCCCGGACCTTCCTCCTCCTTATTTCGTCAGACAATGGGCCTCGGACTTGGGGATTGAATTTAGCCCTGCACAGGTGGACCGCATGCTACACTTTGCTCTAAAATCTTCTGTGTCTAATAGATACCAAAAAGCTGGCTACAAACTGCTGACCAGATGGTATAGAGTCCCCCAAGGTTTTGCACGCTATGTATCCCTCGGTGCCGGCGACATGCTGGAGGTGCGGAGAGGAGGAAGGTTCCTTACTACATATCTTCTGGGACTGTCCCAGGGTTGCTCCCCTCTGGTCCCAAATTGCAGACCTGGTAACGCAGATTACAGGCCTGTCAATACCTTTCACACCCTCTGTATACCTCCTTCACCTGGCCCCACTCACGGAAAACTTATCAGCGCTCTCTACTGATTCACATGCTCAATGCTGCTCCGGCCTGTGTCCCAGCCTTGTGGAGACAGGTCCGACCACCGTCAGTGGGGATGTGGGTGAGTCGGATGGAGGAAATCAAATTGATGGAGGATCTGACCTCCTCGATGCGTGGGACCCCACACAAGTTCGTGGTGACCTGGGCGGGGTGGTACCAATTTAGGGACTCCTCGGAATGCGCACAGCTTTGTCAGGAATGAACCACCGTCAATGTCAAGGCCCAGGGGACGGTGATGCGACACTGGGCGTTGGGAATTATGGGGGTGCTGGACGACAGGCAGCCGCTGGCCAGAGTCTCGAGTCGAGCATTCTGTCACCTCTGTTGTTCTTCTGTTGTGTTTTATTGTGTCTTGTGTCTATCCGGTCTTTTGTTTCTTCGTTAACCATTTATGTATATGTGTTTTGAATACATAAAATGCCTTAAGAGTTATGGTTCGGAATGATGGGCGGATCCGAGGCATAAGATGCCTGAAAATGCACCAGCTCTGTAACGTCTATGCTAGTTTGGCTAATTTGTTGCTGTTATATGCATGTCCAGCCTTTGGGCTACTGGATCTCTGTCTTCTGTATCATGCCCTTCTGCTTACAAATAAAGAATATAAAATCCATCAATTAAAAAAAAAAAAATCTCTATTTACATAAACTTCACATAATCTCACCAGGAAGAGTGGTTAAGGGCCGGTGCACACCTAGCCGATTTATCGCGCAAAACACAGATTGGCATTAAAGTGAATGGAGGCTGCTCACACCTTTTGCGATTTGTCGTGCGACTGAAATTGCCTGTCCTGCGAAAAGGTGCAGGAGCTATTTTCAGGCGGTTGTCACGCGGTTTTCGTCCCATAGACATCTCTATGCATTGAAAAACATGCGGTTTACAATGAACAGTCGCGCGATCGAAAACAGCTCGGCATCTGAATCGCCTAGGTGAACCTAGCCTATGTGTTCGGGTACAAATGTACAGAAAAATCTTACAATGGTTACAGGAAAGGAGAGGAAGTTAAAGAGAAGGAAGATGGGTCCTTTGTTGGGGGGGTACACAGGTTATAGTTTTTTGATACAGATCCACACATCCTAAAGAAGGAACATCATGGTGGAAAGATGGACCGAGGGATTTGGGCGCCAAAGAGATATATGATCCAAATATGTAACAACGAAATCCAGTGATTTCTTTCATGTTTCTTACTAATCTGTGTCTGTTAAAAATACTTGAATGCTCCACTGTTCGTAGTTTGTAATGCTTTGGCTACTTGTGTCCTTTCCCAATAGATCTTCCCTGACGTGCCCTCATTGTCAGAAACAGAGTAACACTTTTGACCCTTTCCTCTGCATCTCATTGCCAATCCCCTTGCCTCATACACGGTAAGAGCACTGTTCCCAGCTTTATACTGTCACACCTATGCTTTTGTGTTTTTAACCTGCTTTTGTTTCAGCTTTGTGCTACCTGTATACAATTTCCAATCTTCCAACAACCCAAAGAACCGCTGAAAAATAACTAAGTAATGTGCAGTTTTTTTTTTTTCTTGGCTTACAAGATTGCATATCTTCTATTTTTCACTATAGCTGATACACATGATTGCAGAGCTTATGAAGCAAATTAAAATGGGTGCATAAGCCACGTGTATTTTTAAATGAAATGACCCTGCACATGTGCTGCTCAATAGATGGGATGAGCATAAAACACAGCCTCTGAGCTTTACATATACACCATAAAGTTCAATGTGAATTTGCTAACCAAGTGCAGGAGATTGTACACAAGCCCTTAAAGTGACTGTCACTACAGTGCCCGAGTTTGAAAGACCAGGCTCTATACTTGCCTTCCCAGCAGCAGTAGCAATTCGACCCTTCAGGTGTGTTAAATACCCGTTATCCCCATCGTGTGCTGTGTTTCTTCTTGCCAGCTCATATGTCCTATAATCGCCAGCTCGTATGTCTTGTGGAAAAACTACAGTGTGTGGCAGGGATAATTTGCTAACCTTCACTCCTGTCAGTGTGGAATACCTGCAGTGGCAGGGAAGTGGTGGCATTTTCACATGTGGTCCACTTGAAAAGTAATTTATATAGATTATTCTTTTAAAAAGAAAATATTTTTCTTTTGCAAAGAAGTACTCTTCAACTAACTTTAGTATGCTTTTGATTTAAAGCGATATTAAAGTCAAAAGTATTTTAATCTATTTCAAATACTGATGAAATCGCTTACAATGAATGCTTTGAATTGATGTTTAAAAGTTTTTTTCTTTTCCTGCAGAATCAGTAGGTCCCCTGACCACTGGTCCTGATATCCTGTTTTTAGGGTGACTCCTTTCTCAAGCACAGTGCTATGCAGTCACCCTTGTGTGTGCTAATAAGCTGTGTGTGTCTCCACAAACACACAGACACAGCAAATCAAGCTACTTAGCTCCCCCCTGGCCCCTTGTCCTCCCTTCTCCAAGCTAGTAGATAAACAGTTGTTTGAGTCTGCTCTGTCCTTTGTGATCTTGTACTGGATAGGAAGTTCAGGGAAGCTGAGCTGAGAGGCTTGGAAACAGCTGTTCAGGAACATGATGATTGTAAGTGTTTGGTCAAAAATGTAAAGCAATGCTTTGCTGGGCAGTGTGTATTTGTTTCATCTGGATTCATTATTGAGAAAAAGATAGTGTTTAATACTACTTTTAATAATTTATTTATGTTTTAATAAATGATTTGGAGTGATAAATGTTAGGTGAAATGACACATTTGTGTTTTATCTGGTAGGCCCCTTTACGTGACCGTGGTCTATCAGGGGAAATGCTCCCATTGTATGCGCATTGGCGTTGCTGTACCTCTGTCTGGAAATGTGGTGCGCCTACGAGAAACCATATCAATGGAGACCAAGATACCAACAGACCAGGTAACCCCAAATTCTGGGAAATGTTTATTTACTAGTCTGTTCTTTGACTCACTAGTGAGCATTCACTTCTATGCTCATCATCTACTAAAGCAGGTCATTATTCTCTGCTTTCATGGATCTAGAGGTTCTGGAGCTCTTGTTTAACTTGAGCGTTGATTGAGAGGTAAGGATTTAACGTTTGGCCTTTTTGCTTCTTCTTAAATTGAAACTTTTCATAACGTGACACTAAACTCAGGCGTTAAATCTTAAAAATACATTCAAGTACCTTAACTATTAACAATAATTGATCTTCCTTCTGGAGGGTGACTGCTTTTGTTCCCCATGGTCCCTGTGTGTGTGTTGTAAAGTAGCCACCGCTCCAAGCTTGCTCACGTAATGGGCTACAATCTGAGGCCAGGTTCACTGGCCATGCTGGTGGTGCCATCTTTTTCAATGGCACCCTTGTCACGCCGGGCGGAACACAGGGTTTCCCGCCGTGATTCTGCCTGTGCAATCGAACGCTATCGTGGCTAAAAAGAGCTGCGCAACGCAAAAAAAGGTACATGTACCTTTTTTTTTTTTAGCAATTGCTGCGTGCATGTAAGCCCATTGCAATCAATTGGGCTGGGCGGCACCCGCTGTGTGGAACCGCACACGATTACACGCGTCCTGGGATCACCCAGGTCTGCACCACTCCTCAGTACAAGTTAGTAAACTAAACGTCGGATTGTAGTCCATCATGGGTGTGAGCTGGGAGCGGTGACTACTTTACAACACACACAGGGACCATGGAGAACAAAAGTAGCCACCCTCCAGAAGGAAGGACAGCGTCGGCACCAATTCAAAGATCATTTGAGGATCTACAGCCGAGTGATACACAAATAAGATGCATTTTTGTTAATAGTTAAGGTACTTGAATGTATTTTTAAGATTTAACTCCTGAGTTTTTAGACACTTTGATTTCTTCTTTTTTTTCAGATTCTAATTCCATATGGTGGCAGATACTTCTGATTGTCACCAACCAAAGCTCTGCTTCCAGTTTAGCAGTGCTACATAGTTACACTGTAATCTTACTCCTCATATTACTAGTCTGAGTCCGTTGATTTGAAAATGAATGCACTCTGTCTGTAACTGATATATAATTTCCACGGTTATTAAGCAATTTTGCAGTAAGGTTGAATGAGTCAAATCCATATCTCCCTCTAGTGGCAAATGTGAAAATCTGTATTTTTATACGATCGTAAAGTATGGAGTAAACTGTTTATGTGATAGCTGCACCAAAATTTTCTCTAAGATGAGCATTATATTAAAAATGTACACTGTGTACTAACTAGAAAGATACTATAATTTGCCTTTTAAACTGCTTACTCCAAATTACAGATATGGGTGGGCGGTAGCAGCTCCAGTGGGGTTATGGCTGCCCTAGTTATATGGTCAGGCAAGGAAGAAAGGTTGCATAGGAGTCCTGCTCTGAATTGTGAACTGTTGCCATTACTAATAATGCTTGGTTATGGCCATAGTTATGTTGGTGATACATGCTTGATTAAAAAAATATATACATACCAGTGTAACAATATGGGTATGATTCCTAGTGGGATATGTTCTCATTAGTGTGTCACCAATAGTGTCTTCACCTCTGCTTTCTTTTTCTCTCACTCCAGATAGTAATAACCGAAATGTATTTTGATGGCTTCCATCGCTCCTTTTCTGACACAGATGATTTGGATACTGTCCATGAAAGTGACTGCATATTTGCCTTCGAAACTCCAGAAATCTTTCCCTCTGATGGAATTCTCGGCCAGAGAGGTAACACTTTTTCACACTGATCGCTGCAGAAAAATGGAGTAGTACAGGGGGTAGGAAGAGGAAACAATCTCTCATTTATATATTTGACAGTATATTATATTTCTATTGATAGAGTTTAGGGGAATCCACAGATTAATAAACATTTGCTCTGGGAAGGAGCCAAGTGAAGCAGCTTGTAGGAACCAATTATGATTGAAGACATTTTAGAAGTAGCAGTGTACAATGTTTACGGTTATTTTTAATATGTGCTCTTACAAGAGGCTATTCATGTATACACCATGGTGCTCACAGAACTATTTTTAGTATTGGGTGATAAAACCATTGAGGAGAGAGCAGTTGGAGGACCCGGCAGAATGTTTTTTTTTTGTGTTGGGTAAACTTTAAATGGGTTGCTAAAAAATACCTTGATGTATCAATAAGTAATACAATAATCAGCACATGGAGACGCAAGTAGGTATAATATGAAAGCTGTGGTTTTAGGTAAATGTTTTAATAACTTGGAATGTGTAAAATGTGCTGTCGTTTGTCTCTACTGACAAGATTACTAAAATTCCACACTCCTGATGAAGCTTTTCGTATTAACGATGTGTGGATTACATGCAGTACTTTCTAAAAGTGTCTATACTGCTCTGGCCTGCTGATTTATGGCCAGTTCCTACCATAAACAGTGCGTTCCAGAGCGGTAAGCCTCTGGAACGCACTGTATCGCCAGCTTCCTGCGTTCAGGGGCGGAAGGAGGCATGGTGGTGCATGGAAGTCAAAGGCACCGCAGCCACGCCTTCCGCCCGCAGTGCAATCGCCCACAGCAGAACGCATGACACATCAGTGCCTGCGTTACGGTCCAGTGCGATCTGCTAAAATAGTGCTTGCAGTTTATGGTGTGATCGGCCCTTAGGGAGCCAGCCTGCAGGAGAAAGAAAGGAGAGCCGGATATTCTAGAGAGGCAGATTACAGACCCTGAAAATCTTTTAAAAATATCTGTGCCTCTGCCAAAACATAGCTGCAGGCTTACAGAAATATTCATCACATTGTAATTGCAGCATATGTGTACTATGTACAGAGGCTGGGAAAGGGAGACATTGCTCATCTTTCAAGTAAAATACAACCGAGCAAAGGCTGAGCTCACAAGACGTAATGGTATATTCGTGAACATCGCACATAAAAGTGTAAGGCGCCATGAGGATAGGAGAGAAAAACTAACCTCCCCTTTCCTCATAGGTTTGCACTGTCATTTTTTTAGCCAGGATTTCCTACCTTTTTATAAAACCAGTTAAGGTAAAAGTCTCTGATAGAGTATATAATAATAAAACCGTTAATACTAGAATTGCCTGGATATATGCAAATGACATTCCTTTCATTGTAAAAAGTGTCCTTTTTAAAGGAGGACTATGAGGTGAGTGATTTTCACTCACCTCATAGTTCTAGCCGACCTGGGACAATGAGACTGTCGCAGGTCGGCTCAGTAGATCGGGAGGTGAGCGAACACATACTCGATCCTGTCACGGCTGGATTCCCTGCTCCGATCCGCCAGCACTGACTAGCGGAACGGACGGGGGAGGGGGCGGGTACAGCTGGCTCTGCCTTTAGATAGTCAGAGCCAGCTGTCAGTCACGCAGCTGGGCGGATCCCGGCACAATTGTCGGGATATGCTTCAGCTGCGGCTTCTCAATATACCGCGAGCAGCTGCTCGCGGTATACTGCGGCGTCTCAGTATACTGAGCCTAGGGTGACGGGAGGATGCTAGTTTGTGTCCTCCTGTTACCCTAAGGAGAACTATAGGCACCGCAGCCACGCCTTCCGCCCGCAGTGCAATCGCCCACAGCAGAACGCATGACACATCAGTGCCTGCGTTACGGTCCAGTGCGATCTGCTAAAATAGTGCTTGCAGTTTATGGTGTGATCGGCCCTTAGGGAGCCAGCCTGCAGGAGAAAGAAAGGAGAGCCGGATATTCTAGAGAGGCAGATTACAGACCCTGAAAATCTTTTAAAAATATCTGTGCCTCTGCCAAAACATAGCTGCAGGCTTACAGAAATATTCATCACATTGTAATTGCAGCATATGTGTACTATGTACAGAGGCTGGGAAAGGGAGACATTGCTCATCTTTCAAGTAAAATACAACCGAGCAAAGGCTGAGCTCACAAGACGTAATGGTATATTCGTGAACATCGCACATAAAAGTGTAAGGCGCCATGAGGATAGGAGAGAAAAACTAACCTCCCCTTTCCTCATAGGTTTGCACTGTCATTTTTTTAGCCAGGATTTCCTACCTTTTTATAAAACCAGTTAAGGTAAAAGTCTCTGATAGAGTATATAATAATAAAACCGTTAATACTAGAATTGCCTGGATATATGCAAATGACATTCCTTTCATTGTAAAAAGTGTCCTTTTTAAAGGAGGACTATGAGGTGAGTGATTTTCACTCACCTCATAGTTCTAGCCGACCTGGGACAATGAGACTGTCGCAGGTCGGCTCAGTAGATCGGGAGGTGAGCGAACACATACTCGATCCTGTCACGGCTGGATTCCCTGCTCCGATCCGCCAGCACTGACTAGCGGAACGGACGGGGGAGGGGGCGGGTACAGCTGGCTCTGCCTTTAGATAGTCAGAGCCAGCTGTCAGTCACGCAGCTGGGCGGATCCCGGCACAATTGTCGGGATATGCTTCAGCTGCGGCTTCTCAATATACCGCGAGCAGCTGCTCGCGGTATACTGCGGCGTCTCAGTATACTGAGCCTAGGGTGACGGGAGGATGCTAGTTTGTGTCCTCCTGTTACCCTAAGGAGAACTATGGGGAAAAGACTTAACCCCATAGTTCTCCTTTAAGCTTTACCTAAAGTGTAGCTGCCCCACCCCAGCATCCCCTACCAGCCTTATACTCTCCTGTCCCCGATCCTAGCCAGGCCTATGCATGTGCTCTTTAGAGCTCTGGCATACCAGATCATACTCCCTGACTCTCTATAGACTGAATGAGAGTGCACAATACATGTATGTTTTGAGAAGCAGCTCTGTGTCCTTGCCGTTACACTTTAATGCAGTTTATAAACGCCTTTGACTTGTGTATAATTGAAAAGGTCAGCTCAGCAGGTGGGATTACCAAATCAAGCTGAATGGTAAATCAAGAGTGCAGTGGGAAAACCACATTTGCTGGATGTCACCATTATTTCAGTCATTTTAAAGAATGATGCTTACACAAGTAAGAATGCTCGGTTTTGGCATTGGAAGTGGGGTAATGGCACACAGAACTACAGTCACTGAAAAGTGTTACTGTCTTCCATGTTCTATACAGCTGGTATGACACAGCAGGGGGTTGCGATGATCACAAAAAATGTGTGCATAAGGCTTGCCAGTGTAACACTTTCAACTTATGGAATACCGACTTGGGAAATGGCAGCATGACCTGGCCTTATTCACTTGTGTGCCCACTTCACTGAACTATGCAAGAAATCTGTGTGAGCCAGCTCTACATACAAGCGCATGCCCCCCTGCTCATCATTCTTCAGAAGATGTATCCTTGTTTTCTCTAAACTGATTTATTGGATGAGCTATATGGACATGGAGTGTAAGTGTGGTTAAAACGTCATTGATGTCTGATCCTAATTTTTCTTTTTCTGAACTTCACAGGAGTCTGTGTGAACAATAACCAGAATTATGTGAGGAATGGGATCGACCATAATCGGTCTCCCCATTACTCTTCTGGCTCAGCGAGACTTCCTGTGAACAGGGTTGGCATCACTGACCGAATAGTTATCCTGGTCTGTAACAGAGCATATAGTGGACAGCATGGCAAGAGGTGAGTCATCTGGCCAGGTTATTTTTGTTGGCGATTACGCTGTCCTATGTGACTACTGATGAATGACCAATATAAACTTGCACAAAAAGTAGGCAAACGCATAACGCTCTATAAGCTGTCACTTCCGAGCTAGCTTTAGCCTAAGATGACACCAATTATGTGTTTGCTGGGCAGAAAGCCATCTGTGTGTTGGAAAATATTGATCTGCGCTCCAACGCCATCATTCTTTTTTTTTTATATTCCGTTCCATAAACCTGACAATGTTTTACATCCTAATCCATGAAAGTTATTAAAAGGGTGGAAAAAGTAAGCATCTCGGCAACAGAAATTCGTTGTTTGCCATTATACTATTTTTCACACATAAGCAGAATGTCGGTGTTAGCAGTCCGTGGCTGAATTTTTTGACTTTAGGAACATCTCATGGACGAGATACATTCTGCAGATAACAATTCCAAATTGGTCCCTGATATGTCATTTGTCTTGCAGCGCCTTGTGAGGTGAATGTATCAAAACTGCAGCAAACAAAATCTGTGCATGGCAACCAATCAGCATCTCTCTTTCATTTTCAAATTTTAACTGGCAAAATGGAGAGAGAAGCTGATTGGTTGCCAAGGGCAATGGCTCCAGATTCTTTCTGCTCAAGTTTTAATAAATTCCCCCCAGTATATATTATAGAATGTGTGGCATGGAGATTTTGCAGCAGAAGTCACCAAAACAAGAAGCTAATGGGTGTTGCAGCCTGTTGGTGTCCACACAACACTGACATTACAGTTTTCCAGGTCTGTTTAAAATAATGTAGCCAATTGATTATATTGTTAACACTGCTTTCGTAGATTCGGGCAGCCATTTGTTTTGTATCTGGAGAGGAACGTCACATGGGATCTCCTGCAGAAAGAGATCTTGGAGAAAATGCAGTACTCCTTACGGCCTTCAGTGTGTGTTCAGGTGAGTGCAACTCCTTGTTGCCTTCTCTCTTGAGTGCTCTTCTGTCTTTTTTCTCTGTTGTTCACCATCGCTCGCTCTCTTTGTTATCCCTTCCCTCTATCTGCCCGCTCTCTATTGTTGTTTGACTCTCTTGCCATCTTCATTTTTCTCTGTGTTGTCTTCTTTACTAGTTTGTTTTTTGGGTTTTTCTCTCTTCTCTGTGTTGCAATTATTTTCACTCTCTCTATGATCCCTACCTGGTCAGACACTTTAAGATTAAAAAAAATCTTTCTCTTTCCACCCTCCAGGCTAAACAGCGTGGATGGAGGAATCTCCCCTGCCAACTATTGTATTCTGACAGTGCCTGCTGCTGTCAGACTACCCAGTGACTGCAACTGATTGTCTGCACTCACTGCTTGGCTGACAATTTTCCACCCAGCTCCTTCAATTAATCTCTCCTTTTTTTCTCTTTTTTTATTTCATATATATTTTACACACACACAGCGATTTTCCATAACTATTGTGCATTATTGTAGGTGTGTCCATTTAGCCTTCGTGTGGTTACTGCGGTCGGGATAACATACCTCTTACCTCAGGAAGAAAAACCTCTGTGTCACCCCACTGTTGAAAGGTAAGTTCTGGCAGTACTTGTTTTGGTGTGATATGGTAGAATATAATTTTAATATTTTATTACATGAACAGTGCATATGTCACACTTAGCATATCTGCATGTCTGTTTAATAAAACTCTTGTTGAACTTTATTTATAATTTAGGTCTATACACATAGCGGTGCCCTGTTCACAGTTTGCTTGTTTCCTACTCTTAAGTTGGCCATACACCTATAGATTATCTGCATATTTTCTATGGTCAGATGGAAAAAGTGCAACAGATTCCTCCATCTACACTAAACTGTGTGGATGGAGCATTCTCCCACTGGGCCAAGCTTCAGTATCTTGCTAGTCGGCCCCCGCTGGCTATGAAAATACCTGAACAATCTGATTGATTTGGATGCAGGCATTCAGGTGTTTTGAGCGCCACTGGGGCCAACTAGCTAGATACTGGCGTAAATTGAGGACTCTGTTGTACTTTTTCCATCTCACCAAAGAAAATCTGCAGAATATCTATAGGTGTATGGCCAGCTTTAGTTTCCCACTTAATGTGTGCAGCATTTTCGGGGCAGATGAAAAACAATAAGGTGGTCACCACCATGTTATAATATAAATTAAACTTGAATCACGCCTGTCACTCTGTTAAAAGAGAAAAAAAAATATATATAATATATACACACTGATAAAGCCCCACTTCAAGGGTTAATTTGTTAATTCTTGGAGTTTTAGTCGCCGGGAGTCTGTTTTAACAGCCCCGATGCTGGCGACGTACACTGTACGTCGTCAGTCACAAAGGGGTTAATATACGTCACACATCACTCCTGTATACTACTCCCCACACCCTTATGAAGGGGTTGGAACCTACTTCTATCTAATCAATGTAAGGAACTGGGGCAGAAGAGCAACATCCATACCCAGCTGCTAGAAAGAAAACATTTGGTAGACCTAATATAAAGCAGTAACTCCTTTTACATACTCAGTCATTTTTATTTTATTTATACATTAGCAAAAACAGTCCATCGAAATTGAATCCACTTCATTTGGCGCGCACAACTGCATGATTGTTGGTAAATATATTCAATCTCCCAGATTAAATCTGAACAATCTGCATTTTGAACACATTGGCTTGCGTTTAAGATCAAGTCTGAGATTATTGTAAGATCAGCTTGAGATGCATTTACTTTGATGTGCATTAAATAAAAGCCATGCAACATGATGCATTACAAAATCAACAAGACACGCAAATGTTCTGTGCTTCCCAAGATCCAATTCTGATTTCTCACACACTACATTACACATGAGAAATGCTTTGCAAACTGATGTCAGAGGCAAATCACTAATGCCTGTGCACACAAAACCATAGTAGGTATGGTTTTTTTTTACATCTTCTTTCATTTTTCCTTCCAGACATTACATTAAACAAATAATGATGGAAAGCGAAAATAAAATGACGACTTTGCTTTAAAAAATTATGTCTGTTCATTTTGAGAACCACTGTGTTCTAAGCAGTGTTTTGTGGTTTTGTTCCAGGGCTCTCAAATCTTGTGGTTTAGGTGGGGCCCCTCATGTGAAGTTGGTGGTGGAATGGGACAGAGAAACTAAGGATTAGTAAGTATATAAACAGAAGAATGTCATTTGGCAGTCGTAGGGATATTTCTTTGAAGTGGATGGGGATTATTGGGGGGGCATTGCAGGTCACCTGACTTGCCATCACATCTGAAGAGGGTAACAGAGATGAGTCAATAGTGTGTGTGTAATATATATATATATTCTGTTGCTTGAAGCAGCCAGACTCTTCTTGCACTAGAAAAAATAAAAGGATGAACTTGATTGGTTGCTACAGGTTACAACCAAGTTCAATTTTAAATCCCACGCTAGCTATTAAAGTGACACTAAACGCAGGAGTTAAACCTTAAAAATGCATTCAAGTACCCTAACTGTTAACAGAAATGTATCTTATTTGTATGTGTGTATGGCTGAGCTGTAGATCCTCAAATCATCTCTGAATTGGTGCTGACACTTTCCTTCTTCCTTCTGGAGGGTGGCTACTTTTGTTCCCCATGGTCCCTGTGTGTGTTGTAAAGTAGACACCGCTTCAAGCTCACTCCTGTGATAGACTATAACTTCAATACAATTTTGTAAACTAAATGCAAAATTGTACTCCATCACAGGAGTGAGCTTGGAGCGGTGGCTACTTGACAACACACACACACATTCGCACCGGGCACAGCGGAGCCCGGGATCAGCGGGACAACAGTGGGGGGGGGACCGCGGAGGGGGACACCCGATCGGCCCCCCATACATGCGATCGGCCGGCTCTACAGCCGGCGGATCGCATGTATATTAACGGGCATCGCTGCCCGTTTTTAAATTCCGGCCATTTCCCGCTCGCGCGCGCCGCAAGGGGGCGTGTCTGAGCGGACGTCTAGAGACGCCCGCTCAGATCGAGAGAGCTCCTGGCCGACCGTTTTTTTACTACGGCCGGCCCGGAGGTAGTTAAGGAACATCAATGCATTTTTAACATTGAACTCCGGAGTTTAGTGTAGTCCAAGCATAGCCTTTTGTACTAGGAGCCCGGGGATCTACAAACTACCTAGGTGAAGATGATTTCCCCCAGCACATGATTTCTACACCCCTACATGATTTCTACACCCCTATATCAACAAGCTCCCTAAGCCATCAGGTAGATGAAGTGTTCTGAATTCAGAGCATATGGTGTGCTCATTGCCACCGACTTTTTTCTTTGAAAAGCTGTTTTGATAGCTTAGTTGATATAGTCTACACTTGTCTGGTTTTATTAGTGAGCTTGTGATAGGTGTCTGCTAACCTGCAATGTTAAGTGCAGCTCCGTAATTGCCTCAGTGACAAGCTTGTCTGAATATTCTCCAGGCAGTGCCGAGGTTCTGTTCTTCAGCGCGAGGCAGCGGGAACTGATCATCTGCTGCTGTCGGAAGTCGGGCTTGTTTCGAAGCATTTGGCTGTGGGTTTCATGTGCACTGCTTGACGGCAATCTGTGTCAAAACGAAATGAGCTCATTCGTCACTAAATTCGTCCTTTATTGAAATAATGTTAGCGTGTGATTGATGCAGTATTTCAGCTTATTTACATTAGGCTAATTATAAGGATTTCTACCTGTATTCTGTATATGCAGCATGGCCTGTTACTCTCCATTAATTCTTTTCCCTATTCACCAAGTCACTATAGTGGCTGAGATTCCATCTTCTAATTGTCCTTGATTCTGAACCTGTGTAGTGCTGGTCAGTGTGTTTTTTGGTTCAGAAACTGTCCTGTCTAGGAGCTTGCTCCAGTGT